TGATTTCGCTTTTGGCTGCCGCTGCCGCCTTGTCTGTGAAGCTTGTCCTTCTTCATATTTTCACTCTTGGCCGCCGCTGCCGCCTTGTCTCCCAAGCTTGTCTTCCTTCATGATTTCGCTCTTGGCTGCCGCTGCCGCCTTGTCGCCCAAGTTTGTCTCTGTTCGTGATTTCGCTCTTGGCTGCCGCTGCCGCCTTGTCATTTTCTTGCCTGCCTTTGACGTGGACGCTGTTATGTGATTTAGGTTTTTGAGTGGGATGGTGTGCCTGGTGTCGCTTCCATCTTTTATGTGACAAACTAAGCATCGTTACTTTCGGCCGGAAACACACCCTTTTAGTGAGAACGCGCAGGCGTTCTGAAAGGTTTGCGTAGCATATGACCACACGCGCCCACGTGCACACTTGGGCTGTTGAAATAGCCCCCTTGAAACCTTTGCAACCCTCCTACCAAGCATGCCTGCGTAGTTCTGTGCAAAGGTGGAGACGTTTTCCCGCTTGCGCGCTGTCTTGAATTTCCCCTTGATGGGTTCGTGTTCACGCTGGTGTGTGCAACGGTGTCCACGCAGTTCTTGCCATAAGTGTCTGCTTGCGGTATGGACTTGAGTTCCTTTTCAATTTCTTGGATCGTGGAAGATGCAATTGGCCCACTTGACGCATGTCGGAGGTGGCGGGAAGAGTGCCCAGCGCTGCGTCGCTGAGCTCTGGTTGATGGTTCATCTCTGATCCCACGGGTTGTTCCAAGTGGCTCTTGGTCCCCGACAGGTTGTGGTTGGAGCGTCAACTCCTTTGGGTGAGCTTCTTGACTGGCTTGGGTGGAATGGATATTGGGCGCCTTTCTTCGGGGACTGGGGCGGCCTCGTTCTGGGCCATTGGTAGTCCTGGCTGGGGAGCTTCTGGAGGCGTTGCCTTTGGCTTCGTCTCCTTGTGAGCTCGACAGAGCATCTTGAAGTTTCGAAGGCATGGTGCCTCTGCCTTTCGGTTGTAGATCTGGTTGACACAGTCCTGGCGGCGATCGTAGACCTGCTGAAACGTCTGTCCGGCCCACTTGCCACTGGGAAGCTTCGTTTGTCCCCCCTCCTCAAGTGTGGTTTCACCACAAAACTGGTTTCCTGGTGTGGCATCTTGGTCATCAAGGAGTGGTCCACTGGGATGTCCAAGACATTGGTCATGTAGGAGTTGGCCATTGAGCTCTTCGTTGACCATACGCGAGTCTTGACCACTTTGATGCGGCTGCTAAGAAAAAGCATTCTGAATTCTGTTGTTCACGCACGCTGGACTGCTTCATGTCTTGGGTGGCCCCTGGAGTGTGGGCGCTTGATGATTCCGTGTTCTCATGCTGATTGGTTTCACCTACCTCTGTTTCGTTGGTTAGGAGAACCTGTTGATCCTTCCATGGTCCATCTAGAAGATCATGAAAACTAAGTCCTAGCAGGTGTTTCCTACATTCACGATGAGGTAAATTCCAAAATTCTCCCCTTTGAACATGAGTCTTCGCCCTTCCACATCAACACTACCCCCCTTTAGTTTTCGGAGGAGTGAATTAGAAAGTAGAAAGGGTGCGTTTCCAGGAATCACTTCCACCTTGATCCAGCCTCCATTTTTCCGTGGCAGGAGCACTGCATATGTGCTCTCAAGGGTGCCATCATTGCCAAACTTGAAGGTGACTCCGGAGGAACTTACCTTTCGAACTTGCTTTCTGATGGTGCTCTTCAAACACTTCAACAACCTCTCAAGCCTTCTTTACCCAACAAGTCCGACTTGCTCCGGTATCTAAAATTGCAATGTGGCTCTCTTCTTCGGAAAATAGGAGGTTTTCTACCTCCGCGCTGGCCATTCTACGGCTTCCTGGAGGAAGGATCGAACTAGCTGGACCTGCAACTTCCTACAGCAGCGTTGAAGGCGATTGGTCAACTGTTTTGAAAACTCTTCCATGACAAATTCTTCCAAGTCGCTTGAGATCCTATGTACAAACTTATAAGGATTATAAACACTATCACTATCACTCTCAATTTAAAACTCATTTGAACTCTCTCCTGGATGGTGGTCAGGTTGATGATCTCCGTGTTCTCTGGCAGGTCAGCAAGGAGTTCGCCATGGTCATAGTTCACCGGACTCTGCTCCACGGTCATGGTGATCATCTCCGTGGATATGTTGTGAAACGATGGGTGAGGTGGGTTTGGACATTCTCGCTTCCAATGTCCTGGTTGGAGACTTTTCCTGCAGGTGGAACTGGCTATTCTGTCCGCCAAGCGCTTCTTGGAGTAAGTAGAGCCTTTGTTGGCTTTGAACTTCGCCTTGGACTTTCCTTTTCCCTTTTCCCCTGTTCCAACTGGAAGCCCCTTGAACGAGCCTTGTCCTTGATCTTCTGCCGTGCCTCTTGGTACGTGATGAAGCACGATGATAGCTCGCTGCTCTCCTGGCATGTGGGCATGATCTGCTCCTCAAATTCGTGGCAGAATTGCGCGTGTTCATCTCCTTCTTCCAAGAGGGCCTGGTAGACCCATTCCTCGTCCCATTCACCATAGTCACCCTCTTCAGTCATTAGGACCTCCTCCTCCTCGTTTTCGATGTAGTTGCAGTCATAGGTTTTCCAGTTCTTTCCGGACTGGTTCTGTTGGAGCTCATTGAAGAACTTGGCCCCAAGGAGTCTCAGCCCCTTCCGGGCTGTCTCATAGGTGGGGTTCCCATGGTTTTCCGTGATGATTTTCTTGCGATCATCCATGGATAGGTTGGGCTGTCGGACCAGGATGTAGGCTCGAATGTCCTCAACCGTCACGTTTGCTCCCATGAGGTCCTCGAAGGCGTTGTCATGCCTTGTTAAATAGCTGTCGCTGCTTGCTTTCGTCCGCCTTTTGAGAGGTCTGGAAAATTGCCTTCTCAAACGACTGGAATCTCACCTCTTCTCCCAGCTGTCCCCATTGCCTCCCAAGGCCTGAACCAAGAGCTTGACACCATCCTTGGTGGTGCTAGGTGTTCCACTGATTCGGCTGGCCAGATGTCCCTGAGAAAGGACAGTTTGCGGCTGTAGACACGCATGTCGGTCACCCCTGGCTGGAAACTTGGAGTTTGATTCCATGGAAGGGTGGAATTCCCATTGGTCCCTCCACTGCATCCCGCTGCTTGCGCCTCCTCTCCCGACATGGCTCTTGCTAGTCGGGGTGATGAAAGCTCAACAGAAAATTGGGTTGCCCTGCGTACCAAAAATCCTAGGATTAGATTCATTGCCCAATGGTCTGTCCTAGACTTCCTAGGTGGCAGCCCGAAGGCTCCGCTACCAATCTGAATGATACGCCCTGTGTGATCTTCCTCCTAAGTGATCCTACACTTGCGGCCCTTTGTGTCCTTGGCTTCGTCCAGCTTGAGCCACCGTTTTGGTGGATGGGCATTCGTGTAGCTGATGGACCATGTTCATTCATTGAACATTCACAATGTACATGCCACATATATATATATATGTTTCGCATGTTTATTCATTCGAGCTGCGGCTTCTCTAGGCTCCAAACTCTTTTGACTCATCCTTCATCCTAGCAAGGATCTCCTGGCAAAGCCTCAAAGACAAACGCACACCCTGGACACACAAAAATAGCTACAGTACTGTCCAAATCCCGCACTTCGTAGCTTCTTCACCACAATCCTGGCAATAGAGGCAATGTGGTCATGCAGAATTAAATCACAGAATCTCATAGAGAATCTGCTATGCACAGAACCCTATTTTGCTTGGTGTTTGACTCTTAAGCCTTGCTTGCCAGAAAGCCCAGCCTCACAGTTCTTGAGCTCGACACCAATACGTGTCTCCTAGCACTCTCCGAGCGTCTCACCGTGTCAGATTGCGCAGACTCCGGTAAAGCCACTCTTTGAGTTCAAACGATCATCGAAAATAGCGAAGCTCCGGTCCATGACGGTGTCCCACGAGCATCGTGTCTCTGAGAGCTGCCTCAGAGAGAATGGGAGAGGGCATTGGGACTCTTCGAACTTCGGACTCCTTCGATGTCGATACGCTATTAGAAACAATAAGCTACTAGGAACAAGTGCATCGCTACTAGGAGAAAGGACGCTACTAGTAGCTCCTGGCCTTGCTACTAGTAACAAGAAGCTACTAGTAGCGGCATCGATACTAGGAACAAGTACATCGCTATTTGTAGCCACTTTGCTACTACAGACAATCCCTACAAATGTCGGGTTGTATCCCACCTGAGCAAGGGAAGTACTTCGCCTCCTTCCGTGCGAGCCCTGCAAGTCAGCCCCGATGGACACGTCATGAGGTTCAAGTTGATCCTTTTGGAGCAAATATATAAACAAACCTGCAAATGTAAAAAGTCATTGGAGGCTGTGCTTGATTGTGACATTGGATTTGAGAGTGCCCTGTTCTCATGTCACAGGAAGAATGTGGGTCTGCGTGGCCTCTTCAATCCATCTCTGATCTCAACCACCTGCAAAGTCTAAATCATTAGGATGGCCTCTCTAAGGGCAGTCCTAGCAAGTAAGTAGGGGGCCAAAGAGCTTCTTCATAGCAAGTGACACATTTCATTACTCTTTTCTGCCTTTGACCGGCTTTGTTGTTCTTCCTCCTTTCCTTGGGCAAAAACTCCACAAGTATCGTTGCGCCGCATCACCATTTCAGGTCTTTAAGCTTCTCAGCTTGTGGCGCAACTCAATCTTCACCTTTCGCAACTCTTCTTGCACCTCAGGTCAAGAGAAGAACAAAACGACAGCATCTTTGAAGCTCCTCTTGGTCCATCTTGGTCCTCCGACACGTTTGTCATCTGGAAGCTGCTTCTGAGCTTCTATGAGTTGCTTGTGTGCCTACAAGTGCCAGGACCATGTTGGTGCAAAATGAGCGGCTGTAATGCTTGTGGCTTCTAGCAAGTTGAACTCTTCAATCATGGAAAAGAATACTTCACCTTTTCTCCAGTTAAAAGATCTTGGCTCATGCCAGTAGGCTACAGAACACTTGTGGTCTGATGGTCTTCAGCCACTCCCGCAGAATCAAATGTATGTGGGAGGACTTGCTGGGAAGTTCACACCCCGCATCTGCCACGAAGCCATTTCTCCTGGGTTGTAAGTAAGCTGTCGGGAGCAGATCCAATATGGATTGGGTAAAGTAAAGGCTTGGAGCAACAAATGGACGAATTAAAAAAATAGAACTAGTAGCAAATAGCTACTAGTAGCAAAGAGCATCACTACTAGGAGCGATCGGACGCTACTAGTAGCTCCTTACCTGAGCAAATAGCAAAGGGCCAAGAGGCCAAAGTGTCCCAAATGGGTGTTGTTGTTCTTCTTGATGGAAATTAATGGTGTGTCTGCTGGAAGCCAAACGGTGTCTTCTAGACTGGGATCCTCATCACTCCACAAGCATGGAGGCAAAGTAACATAGCCAGCTTCATCCCACTTGTCCTGTCCAGCTGTTGATCATATTATGTCTGCATGTGCCGTGCATGTGCTCTTGAAATCTGTAGAACATCTATTGAGCACATCTATTTGTGTGATTCAAGAACCATGTTCCAGGACATGGGTCAAACTGGACCAGACAGAAGGCGCAGTGTGGTATTCACAAGGGATGAACCACTTGTCCTTGGGGAAGTTACCCTGGCCATACTTGGGGAGCTGACGACACAAGAGCTTTGGTGTGCCGGTCAAGTTGTGGTAGAGCTCAATCGACAGGCAGCTGGGAGCATGGCAATGTCCGCCAGCATATATCAGGCGAATGTTGCTGACAGTCCAATGGTACCTCCGCAAGTATCGTGTGGGAGCGAGCCATTTATACAAGCGCAAAGCATTGGATTACGTAATAAAAAAAAAACATGTGCAATGTGCAACTTGCAGAACAAAGAACGTGATCGTGTGCACACACTCGCAGTCTGGGCCATCTGGGCAAGTTCCAGTGCAGCTTGTACCAGGTGTCGGTTTGTTGATGGGCCAGTCGGGGTAGCCGACAATTGGATGTCCTGGCCTTGCAAAGGCTGGAGGGATATCGTATTCTCCAGCATGGGCCTCTGTCTGATAGTATATCCGAGGCAAATCAAAATGTGAGGTCTTGTCATCCTTGGCTTTGTATTCTTGAAACCAAAAGCGGAACTTCATATGGTACCGCAAAAGCTCGGGACGGATTTCCTGGTCGGCATCCAACATGATGCGTTTGTGATGGCAGCAATTGAGCCCACCAGAATACTGCCGGGCGTTGCAGGTCGGGTTCATCTGCGCCGCCAAGTCGCCAGCAGGAAAGGGCACACAATCTTTCACAAATTCATGGCAGTTTGTGCCACCAGATTCACAAAGCCGTCCAACCAAGCCAGCATCACAAACGCAAGAGCTGGAGCCAACACTGGTAAGAGCTACCTCCATTGGTCCATGTGCCCGATGATAGGCAAATGTCTGCGAGGAACCCACTGCAGTGATAAAGTTTATGGTTTCGTCTGAAAATGGATCAAAGGAATAGTGATCCTTGGAAATTCCGCTTAGGCCGCGGGTCATCACGACCGTGCGAATGCCTTTGACAACGGAATTGGACACGACCTTGACGCTTGTACGAAGCTGAGTGCCAGGGCAATGCTCGGCTTCGCTGCCACAAGTACCGATCTTCCGCTCGGTCACTCCATCGCCATTCACCACAAGCGTGTATGGGCTATCGGCCATTGCTGAAGCATTGAAGCCTGCGCCAAACCAAGCGTTGGCGGGGCCAGACATGGTAATCTTTGCACTGCCACCATCTTGCTTTTCACCTTCGCAGCATGACAACAGCCAAGCAAGTTAGATGCAAATCTATACAACATGATATACAACTACAGAGGTTGAACAATCCCAGCACTTCATGCTTACAACCTGAAGCAAAAACATAGACTATGTCTTCAGCGGGCAACTAACATCCCCTTCCACGGAGCCAGCCCATGCTTCTACTTTTCCACAAGATGTGACGGCATTCCACTGGCAAGCTGTAAAGGGAGCACCATAGGCATATGGTTCCGTCTCGCCTCACAGCAAGCAAAGCAAAATTGCACAAAAGTATACAAAAGTATTCTGGTCTTACATGGAAAAAAAAAACACAAACCTCTGGAATGGTGGTTGTAGACTTGTGCCAAAGCCAATGGATCACCTGGATTTCTTGGCTCGCAGGCTGTTTGTTGAGGCAAGTTGCAATCCACACTGCAACCCCAGCATGCTGAACTTGTCCAGCAGAACTGTTGGCATTGATCGCGGGCTTCTTTTGCTGCCTGTAAGGTGGAGCTTTGCATTTGGAATGACTTGATTTTGTTTGCACGATTCTGGCTGCAGTATTGTCCAGCAGGAGACATCTTGAACATGCCGCTGCTGTCGAGCTCAATTGCCAGCTTCACGCCAACCCTAGAGGTTCCCTCTCCAGAGCGCTTACTAGAGGAGCTGCAGTTCCCTTGCCCATCACTGTTGAAGCGTACAACAATGGTGTTGTTGGCAAGCCTGGTAATGGAACAACCAGGGGGTAGCTTTGGGTCTGACAATGTTTGATTGATGAAGTGTGAAGCATTGAGTCCAAGCGTTTCTGCGCCAGTGAAGCAACTTGAGGCATCTGCTACAGCCTGGCCACTCTTACATGCTCCGGATCCCAGTACATACTTATGCTCAATGATCTTGCTCTTGGCTTCCGGGTAAAACATAGGATCACCTCCATACCTGGAATTGCAAGGGCACTCCAGGAGCCCACTGTAGTTCGTGTCTGCAGGGGTTCCCAGCCCATATCTTGCCTGTTTGGGTTCAGGTCCAGGGGCAAACTTTGTGCAGTTGTTGATGTCAACTGGAGTGACACCACAGTCACGGTTTCTTGTGTCAATTTGCATCGGAGTGATATGCCACATATTTGGTGAGTCAATCAGCTGGGCAAATCCATCTGGATACCCATGGAATGACTTTCGAGATTCTCCGCCATTTCCTTCAGAGAAGAATTGGGAAGTAGGGATAGAGGTGTCCTTGCGGCCAGCTGCGGATGGCTTGTCAATGGCAATCCACTTCGTTGTGGCCCCATGGGCCATTGGATCTCCTGGTGCTGCAAAGACTTTCTTGAGCTCAGAATGGGTGCCTGTCATGAACGCCATGTAGTGGTGGTTGTAAGCCCAATTAATTGGCACCGAGACATCATCTTTTGGGTTTACACCTGGTTGACCCACAGGATTCACCATCACTTGGTCCATCTCATAGCCTGTAATTGCCATGACCTTGCCCTCAAAACGCTTCACGATCTCCTTCGGCAAGGGCTGATTTCCCTGATCTGTCCAAAACACCTCCCCGTAGTGAGTGGCTATCTCAGGCGCCCAAACATCGAAGAATTCGTGACCCTTTGATGCATAGTCATCATTGAAGCCAACATCCTCACATCCAACAATACCGTAAGCTACCAATCAAGTGAAACGATGTGACATGTTTCATGTACAGATGCAGCTGTATGCATTGCACTGACATCTTTGTGTAAAACATAGCAAATGCCACGGAAAAGGAACACATGTCACTCTCCAATCTGCTCCTGTCGATCTCCAGTGGCAACACTGTACTTTCCATTCATATTTCCAGAGGCTGCAGCAAGCCATGGCAAAATGGCAAACACACAACGCATGGTCAAAAAACGGCTGTGCTCACAAATAGTAGCCAAAGCTGCAGCACAAAGCTTGAAACCAATCACGGCCTTATATAGATGGCTGCAAGATTGTTTATCCTGTTTAGGTTCGTGTTCAGACCTCGAACTTCAAACTTCATCTATAATATCTCTACTGGTGATGGTTTCATTCAATGTTCACCTGGCGTCGCTTGTTGATACTGCAGACTTCTTGGGACCCAACCCCGGCGAAATCATCATCATTGGCCACCAGGATCTTGGCGCGCAAAAGATGAGCACCTGTTTCAAAGCATCTCAAAATCAAGACAGTGCAAAGATCTAATCAAATGATCAGAAGCGACTCCTTAAAGCCCAATCTTGGCTGGGACAGTGCCTTGCCTGAATGGCCATGCGATTCAAGCCATTGGCAATGCTCCTGCTAGCGGCTAACGTTTCCGTACCACCATCTGAGGTCTGATGAACGTCTGTGGTCCAAAAACACAGAATCACCTGAATCACTTCCAACGAGGAATGCCTCGCGACGAAATGCACCCGAATGGTTCCTCCGCCTCTTTCATATCTCTCCGTGCAATCTTGAGTACGTCTGAGCTCACCTGCAAGGAGAACGCAGCATTCACAACGTCCACATCTGCCATCTAAGGTGTGCACATTGCCACTGTCGAGGATGGGCGCTGCACAGCTAGCCAAGGCCCAGCCTGGTGCAAAACATTGGGATTTTTTCATCGCACTGAAGGGTTCAAGCAGAATACAATCACAAACGCGCCAAACTCTGCGTACCCCGGTCCCGAGGTTTATCTTACATTCCTGTCACTCCCCCTCATTCACCAACGCCACCAAGGTTTGGCCACGGTTGGTGCGATCAGACCTTCCCAGCTGTTGCAATGTGTGTGAAAAAACGGCCTCTATATTTGCCAGAGGACAAGCCTTTTGAAAACCATGGATTACGCAGGAAAAGTTTAGAAAGAGTGTGTGTGCGTGTCACACCCTGTACCCAAGGGTTTTGAACTCTTTTCGACCTCTATCAAATGAACGCAGGGGACCAGGCAGGATGCATCGTCGCCTGGTCAACGAAGCTGGCGATGTATCTGAGGATATGGAAATGGGACGCCATTTCCACGTATCTGCGCTGCTACCCGGGGAAACAGAAGGAAATGGTTCTCGGCGCACTGCGTGCATCGGTTCCTTTCCTTTTGTTGACCCTTTCTACTCTAATGGGGCGATTCGAAAGTCTCGCCCCCCTAGCTACAAACTGGAAACTTCATTCCCTTTTCTAGCTGTTTTCTACCCTATTTGAAGCGATTCCTTTGGCCTCGCTTCTAGATGGAACTTACTCCAGTGTGCACGGCTGTAATTCGGAACCACTAAGTATTCAGTAACTAAACTGCAGTCAAGTGAAACCACCTGTGTCCAAACACTCCTGTTCCGCGGACTCAGCCACCTTTCCGTTACAGCATTCCTTTCACTGTGGATTCTGGCACTGGATGAACCGTTGTCTGAGTGTGACTCGCTGCGCTTTCCCACCTGGGTGCGCAGTGTGATCCTCTCGCAAAAAAAGGCGCAGACGCCACGCTTTATCGCACGTCGATTTAGCGTTCCTGCATTCTTGGATTATGGTTTTGGATTACCTTTGTCTCACCCATGAATCAACAGACGCCTAAGCTGCCGAGCTCACGGATTCCACGCCTCCGGGCTTACGGGAATTCTTGCAGCGCATTCCACAAGTCCACTTTCGAGTTCCACATTCCATGGATTGTTTACACCTATCTTTCTCTCTTGCCCTCTTCGTTTTTCTCTTTCTGTCTTTCTTTCCTTTCTAAGGCTTGTTAGGTGGCTATTCAGGTTTCGGCTCCACGGTTTGCCGTTCGTTCGGCAGACATGCATCGCACTACACCAATCTTTCTCTCTTGCCCTTTTCGTTTTGCTCTTTCAATTCTTTCTTTCCTTTCTAAGGCTTGTTAGGTGGCTATTCACGTTTTCGTCGGCGTGAGCGCCATGCGGCGCTGTCACCCTGTACCCAAGGCTCCGAGGGTTTTGAACTCTTTTCGACCTCTATCAAATGAACGCAGGGGACCAGGCAGGATGCATCGTCGCCTGGTCAACGAAGCTGGCGATGTATCTGAGGATGTGGAAATGGCGTTGCGCTGCTACCCGGGGAAACACAAGGAAAGGGTTCTCGGCGCACTGCGTGCATCGGTTCCTTTCCTTCTGTTGACCCTTTCTACTCTAATGGGGCGATTCGAAAGTCTCGCCCCCCTAGCTACAAACTGGAAACTTCATTCCCTTTTCTAGCTGTTTTCTACCCTATTTGAAGCGATTCCTTTGGCCTCGCTTCCAGATGGAACTTACTCCAGTGTGCACGGGCGTAATTCGGAACTGCTAAGTATTCAGTATAAACTGCTTGTGTTCAAACATTCCTGTTCCGCGGGCTCAGCCACCTTTCCGTTGCAGCATTCCTTTCACTGTGGGTTCTGGCACTGGAAAGAACCCCTGTCTAAGTGTGTCACCCCCTGTCTCTCAGGGAATATGCTCATAATGTTCACGCATACAGGGGGGGCAACGGCCAATCTTCCCACGTTGCCCACTGAAGCTACGGAAGACTGGTGAAAGCATTCAGGGACGCCTGAATGCGCACGTGCATCTGAACTCTAAAGCCTACTACCTATGGAGCGATTCTTAAGTCTCGCTCACAAACTGGAAGCAGAGTTGCCGGCAGACTTGTCTGTCGGCTCTCTTTCCTTCTCCCTACCCTAATGGAGAGATTTGTTCTAAAACAGGAGGCTCTCTGTTTCTTGTCTAGCTTGCCTAGGGCGATTCATCTGTCTTCTGTCTCGCTCGCCCTGTGGAACTATTTTTACTTCTACCTACTGTATCGGTTGCTTGTCCATCGCGTTGCACTGAACCTTCGTAAGGACAAAGCTGTCTAATTCGGCATTTTGCAGCAGAGTGTTGAAACTTTGGGAACAAAGGCATCCCTTTAGATCACTTGGCCTAACAAGCTGATGAACTTCGGGCTTTATGAACAATTCAATCAAAGTTGGAAGGGTGTGGTTTGGCCCGACGGCCTGAAGAGTCTGACGTTTGGTGGTGACTTTCACAAGAGCTTGAAAGGAGTGACTTGGCAAAATGGCCTCAAACATTTGATAGTGGCAACGACATCAGAGTTTGCGCGGTGTGATTTGGCTGGTTGGCATCCCAGTTAAAGCTGGGGATCAAATGCGTTTCTTAAGTTCTAAAGCAGGGGCACAGCGACCAAAGCTATGGTGTTCGGTTGGATGAGATACTGGACGCAGTATCTCGTACCTGCTTTGTACCGCTTCTGGGCGCATTTAACTTGCAGCTGGAGGACACATCACTTTCGGTGGGGCTCCTGATCGTTTGAGTTCCTTACTAAGGCATCCTCCTGCCACCAAGGTCTCAACAGGCTGTGGAATTCGACCGTGCCTATTCTATCAAGAGTGTGTGCGTGTGTGAGTGCAGAAGGTCATGGCTCTTAGGTTGGAGGCCATCGCTCTTACGTTGGAGGTCATGGCTCCTGGGTTTGAGGCCATCGCTCTTAGGTTGGAGGCCATCGCTTCTAGGTTTGGGGCCATGGAGAAGTTGCCCCTTGCGTGTGCCGTTGCCCGGAGAGCGCTTTGAGTGGACATCCTGCACTGACGTGCGCCTATCGCAGTCTTTGCCGCTGCTACATCATCTTGAACCGATGCAGCCTGGCCAAAATCAAGAGCAACCAAGCACAAAAATTACACCTGTTCCGTGCTTCAAGCTCACCACCGAACATGATAAAGCCGCGCTTTCCGCTCTTCGTTCCATCCCTGTCTATCTCAAAGGTGTGCCTCTGTTCCCAGCTGCCCAGCCCAGTTGACCACCTGGCTACTTCGCTTGGAGAAGAGGAGATGAACAAAGGTCAGAGGACACTTGCTGAAAGGCACAATTATGCTTCTTGGTGAGACTCAGATAGCAGTGCTCCCAAGCCACTGCCATCCAGAGTGAAGGCATAAGTTTTGTCAAGTCACAGCTCAAACTCTCAACACCATCGCTTGAATAGAAGGCAGCATGGCTCTTCGCAATCTGGCAAGAGCTGCTTGCTCGTATCCTCGAGTGTCAAAGCTCAAAAAAACATCACGCAACTGACACATACTTTGGTGGGTCGGTGCGCGTAACCTGCGTATGTAACCCGTGTATGTCTGCGCACACATAGTATATATAGTCGTGTCCCAATGCTTTCGGGCTGAGGAATTGCTCAACCTTACCACATAGGCGGCAAAGCAAAGCGTGTTTAGCGTGTGCCACTGGCGCCTTGCTCCAAAAGCTGCTCTGCATGGAAGCGCTCCTGCCGCATGTCCGATCATGACGCAAGTGTATGTATCCGAAACGATAACAGGAGTATTCAACAACAACAAAGGAATATGCCAGGTATAGTGTGTACTTAGTTTGCAGTAGTTCCACATAATTATTCTTTGTTTTATTCACTTGTGTCCTTTGTCTCCGAAAATTATGCCATGCTGTGTCATGTGAGCACTGCAAAGCGGATCACCCAAGTCCACATGAATCGTTCTGAAAAGGCGTGCAAAAAAAAATCCTTGGAATCACGTCAAAGTCTTAACGGCAATCGAATGGCAAAGGCAAAGGCCCTTTTGCACGTCCCGTCCTGGACCAAGGTGCTTGAACCTTGCCACCTCGAATCCTCGGGCCCTGCGACAGCTGGCACCTCATTCTGCTGAGACATGACAGCAATGACATCTTGTGGTCTTGTGGCACCCAAAGAAACACTAGGAGCAAGGACGCTACTAGTAGCTCCTGGCCTTACTACTAGTAACAAGAAGCTACTAGTAACACAGGGCATTGCTACTGGGAGCAAGGACGCTACTAGTAGCTCCTGGCCTTACTACTAGTAACCAGAAGCTACTTAGTAACAAAGGGCATCGCTACTAGGAGCAAGGACGCTACTGGTAGCTCCTGGCCATACTACTAGCAACCAGAAGCCACTTAGTAACAAAGGGCATCGCTACTAGGAGCAAGGACGCCACTAGTACCAGAAGCTACTAGTAACAAAGGGCATCACTACTAGGAGCAAGGCCTCTACTAGTAGCTCCTGGCCTTACTACTAGTAACAAGAAGCTACTAGTAACAAAGGGCATCGCTACTAGGAGCAAGGACGCTGCTAGTAGCTCCCGTCCTTACTACTAGTAACCAAAAGCTACTAGTAACAAAGGGCATCGCTACTAGGAGCAAGGACGCTACTAGTAGCTTATGAACGCTAAGCTGCGCACCACTCGTTCCAGTTCCACTTTGACTGTGCAATGGCTGAGCTTGGCCTCGGAGGTGACTCTAGACCGGGTTTCCTGTAGATAAAGTACTGTGGGTAGTGCAGCAATATACTGCTCTCCTGCGTCTCCATTTGTTCTGAGTCAGGTACGGTAGACCCACGATTCATCATCAGGGAGAGCTTGGCTGAGACATCATCTCCATTCGGATCCTTGTGTGTTGTTGCAACTGCTACATGATGCAGGCAAAGACTTGCAATACCTGCTCTATGCCGCTGGAAAGATATTCTACAAGCTTTCCTTGGGGAGTTCCGGCACATTCTTGAGACGTAGTTCCGCCACCTCGAACCATTCGTCTATCAAAGAGTATATAGAATAATGTAGAATGATTTAAACAAGGTCTGAAAAGGTGCAAAGCTGTGGCTGGGCTCCCAGACTCCTCCTTGCCGCAAAGAGCGGCAAAGGGTTGCTACAGGAGACCACGCCTAGAAACTCAAAGAAACATGCTGTATCAAATTGGGGGACCAAATTGCGGAATGGCCGCATCTGCATGGTACTATGCGTTCAACAGTGTTCAATCATGTTGAATCGTGCACAATCGTTCAAAGCTTTTGTGCAAAGTGAAACTTATGCCCTATGTGCCCTTTGTTTGTGGCTTATTTATGAAGCATGATAGGCAGGTTCGATTTGCACAACTTGTTGCAAAGAGGTCAAGAGCAGCAAGAATGCACTAGTAGGTCTTTCGACAGTGGTCAACAGTACCTAGCTTTTGTTGTTCGTGTTCCAATGCTCGTACACACTCACACTTCGAAAAGTCTGTGGGCTTGACCGATTCTCCAACGATGAAGGAGGGAGCCACTTTGTCCTGATGATTTGAAGCATCGACGTCCTCCTAAGAGTCCTCCTATAATCCTATGAAGCTCATGTACAGCACATCCACAACTGAGAGGCTTGCAAATATGTTCACCAGGCATGCTACGCGATCACTGCTCCTCATCCTCCACCTGCTTCATGTCTTGGCCATTGCCCAAGCTTACTGTGTACCTGAAACATTCTCGCAAATCTGATTCAGGTATGTTTCAAAGCATTATATTACCCTCCAGGAAATGCGTGCCAGCAAAGCCAAAACCATTCCATCCTGGTCCCATTCTATGCCTCGTAGAGTGCACCAGCTGATTGTCGGGACCAATGAGCCGCCAGTGTGTAAAGACCTTCGGAATAGCAAGAATAGGTCGAATCGGTCGAAATAATAGAAGAAACTAACTCGCTTGTGTCTCCCCTCCTCCGAAAGGTCTTCAGCAAAGGTGGCCCCGTATCCTTCTTCGTGGATCTTTCGAAGCCTCCAAAACATCCAACTGCGTTTGAGACTGAATTGAAAGCTGAAGAACATGTGTTCTCACCAAGTGACCTAGAGCATGAACTGTGCATCCGCAGAAGCTGCACCTTTCTCCATTTCGATCCAGGTCTTCCCAAGTCACGAACTTCTGGAATTCGATCTGCCACTTGCACACATCCTGTAGGGTGAGGACGTCGCTATCAGATTGCTCTTGAAGATCTATGTGCATACATGATCATACATGGAATATGAAATTTGGGTGCGGTGTCTTCGCATGCACATGAATGTACAAAACTAAATAGAGTGCGATATTGTGCCTTGCGTATCAGCGTGTAATGAAAGACCCTTTCCAGCCTGAAGCTTTGGCAAGAGTCTTGTGAGGCCACTTTTTGCAGCGAGTCTCTCACTTGAGAAGGTAAAGTTTGAGACCTGCAGACGTGAGAAGGAATTGACAAATGCACCATCCTCTCCTTGCAGCACCTCGCCCTTGGTCATGGACTTGACAGCGAGGTGAATACCTAGGACACTTAAAGGATGGGATGAGTCAAACTATTCCACAGCACTGCCTTCGTGCATGTCCGGATCGCCCAGGATGAAGGAGAGGCTTACCTTTAGCTCCATGTTGGAAACTTTGACATTGTAGCCAGGAGCTACTATTAGCATCCTTGCTCCTAGCGATGCCAGGAGCCCCTAGTAGCGTCCTTGCTCCTAGGTGAATGTGATGCATACAGCTTTCAAAGTTGCGAAGCATCACTGAGCGCTCCCACAGGGACAGAATGGCCTTAGACGTGCTTTACTCAAACTCGAATGATCAGGCGGTGCTCTATTTGTTGCGTGCTTCAGGCCTTCTTCCACAGAGCTGACCGCAATGTGGATAACGCCTTGTTGGTGCTACCACCAGCTGGTCGAAGGAAGACTTGTCGGGGTATAAGAAACTTATTTGGAGCCAAGCATTTTGTCGGTGAACTCCAGTCGAGCCAGTCCTGCATCGATAGAGTCCATAACACTCCACGAAGGCATGAAGAGTCTATGATATGCATAAGAAGTTCTCTCTGCCAAAAGTCTGTCTTACTCTTCCACAATAAACCCCCTGTGCCACACAGGGGGCAGGGAATGGGAAGGGGCGTGGTCGCAAATGAAGAAGCTGTCTACCCCTGCAAAAGAAGCGAGATCTAAAAATGGTGGGACGCAGAAGTAGCTACTACATGCTGGGACGCAGAAGATTCTCTGGTTCTTCAAGAAAGCTTCCTGGAACAACCCTGCACACCAACTTATTTGGTTCCTAGATTCTTAGGCGAACTTATCGTCCGCGCCTTGTTGAGCCATTTGCCACCATCTCCGGCGGAGACCTGCTGCTTGCGAACAGAGCCATCTCCCAGCAGGTCCTTCTCCTGAGACATGTCAAATGATACCACTTAGCTGAAGCTATTAGTAACAAGAAGCTATTAGTAACAAGTGCATCGCTTCTAGTAACAAGTGCATCGCTATTAGCTACATCAGCTTTTACTTGAATACTGGCTTTCCGGTCCACCACGACACACGGTTGCACCGCACACTGTCAGAGCCATTTCACATGTTTTCCCTGGTGCGCGCAGTGTATCATAAAGCTGTGTGTGTGTGAGATGGGGGTGGGGTCAAGACAATGACGTTCTGTTTGTAGGAAAAACAAAGTTGGGTGAGCATGAGAGACACAGGTGTTTGTGTGTGTGTGTGTGCGTGTTGCATTTGCATTCACATGTGCCCAGAAGAAAATTGCATTTGTTGTCTAACATGCATCCGGAAGCATGGAGGTGGTTCGCATGAAAAATTACACAGAGTGCCTGCTTTTGGGCTGCAAGGAACAGGGAAATATGCTGCTGATTTCCAAATTCCATTGGGATTCAAATCTCGCAGCGTTGTCATTCGTCACTTCAAGCAACTGCTTCTGAGGCTACACTTGATTGCGGATTTGTTTGGCCCACACCCAAGCAGAAATACGGTTGAGCCTTGAAGCCCATCCCAGAGAGTGTGCTTGCGAAGGAGAATTCCCTCTTCTCACCTGCGAAAGAGGTGAAGATGTCGGGGTTCAATGGCTCACAGGGCTCACACACTATTTATCTCTATTTATATTATTGCCTTTCCCATCCTCGAGAATCGCAGACACAAAGAAAGGACATTCGTGGACATGTGTCGCCTTCTCGCTCTTCACGCTTGAGCTGCTTTAAATGCTCCTTGCAGAGTTGGAATACCGCCTCCAGCTGATAATCACTTTACTCTTACAACACTGAGGCATATCCAAACTCGTGCTGTCCTGAATTGCTTTCAGCTCGGCCCGAGCCTCCTTGTTTTGTGGCTCGGCCTGGAAATCTCTTGAAGCTTATTGCTACAGAAACGGGGAGAAACGGCTGTTGGCTTCGAAGCCAAATGGTTTGCGACGAAGCCTGGATTCAGTCTGCCCTTATCTGAGTTTGTTCACCTAGAAAAGGAACACCCCTCCAAGCATGACCTCTCCCTTGCCAAAGCTCACAATACACCTTCTCTGTGCCCAAGAACTACATGTGCCAAGTATGCCGAGGGGCTTCGATCACCTTCACTAAATCAGATTTCACTTCAGCACAGATCTCCTGCGCCTCGCAGATTCCACGCTCTGACCAAGCAATCCTTTTCCAGACACAGTTTGAAAGCGCTTTCTTAGTCATTCGATGCTTTCTTGGGAGTGAAAGCCAATACTTGCCTCTGAATTAGTCTTGCAATCTTTAGCCAAAACTGCATTTGTCGCTGCTCTTCTGTAGAGGGCTTTGACCTCTTCCGATGATTCAAGGCACATGAACAATCTGCCAGCAAGCGCCTTCCCTAGTTCTACAGCAAACACAATCGTGTTAAGGTCTCTCAAGGAACAAGCGGATACAGTCAACTGAGCCGCCCACATTCTTGGCATTGAGCTTTAAGGCTTGTGAGGCCGATTTCACCCCCTCTTCAAAAACCTGGCTCTCTGTTGAATCAAACAGCTAGGACCTAGGAGTCATGCTGGGAAGACAAATGATAAAAGGACGCTTGCACAACCTTTGCAGACAAAAGTTTTGAAAGCCTTGTGTCGTTCGGAGTTCTCAGGGCTTAAGCTGCAGCCGTACTTCAGCTGCACCAGCCTCAAAGGATCACAACCCTCCCTTTGTTCCTAATAGCTTCTTGTTACTAGTAGTAAGGCCAGGAGCCCCTAGTAGCGTCCTTGCTCCTAGTAGCGATGCCGCGATGCCCTTTGTTCCTAATAGCTTCCTGCTTATTCCAGATTGAAAGGTGGAATTGCTGCTTTGTTTTGCCCTGATCAACCAAGGCCGCTTCGCCAAGTTAGTAAAAACCGACTCGCAAAGCTCCTCGCGTCTTCAAGCCATGGTCAAGAATTCCAATAAAGCTAACAGGCCCCAACATCCGAACATGGCAGCTATCATTCAAAGCCCGCAGGAGGTTAGGGTGGAGGCCATCCCTATTTGGTTGGAAAATGATCAATCTGGACCAAGGCTTGGCTTCCAATCTACACTCTGTCCTTGGCTTTGGTCATTTCTTGATGCCTCAGTGCAGTGATAGCTACATGAACCCAAAAATGAACCAAAAAAAAATCGGGGAGGATCTCTGGGCTTTAATGCATACTTCTAAACTGAGACTACCAATGCGCTCAAATTAGAGACTTGCAGTCAAGTAGAATTCATGTGATGCATATCGTCATACTGCGGTCTGTGTTTGAATGCAAGCTCCCCGCGTATGCTTGAGCTCCGGATAGTGCTGCGGATTCTTGGTAAGGTCCTCCAAAGAACCAGGCTGCATTTACGTTTTGGTGTTGGCTGGTGCCGAGATGGGAATTTTATGTTGGCACGAATGCCTTGTTGAGAGACTATGACTAAGGTGAGCACTCTTGCAAAAACAATTGAGTGGTAGTAGCCTCACGCTCGAATCTAGCGGTGAGAACTTAATCAAAGTCAGATGCCCTGTTAAACGATCTTTCCTAAGACATCCACAGTCTGCGGCTTTGAAAAGCTCCCCTTTCTTGAAGAACTCATTGCCCTCGACCTGAAACAGCCAATCCGCATGCTTGCTAAACAATGCTCTTAGCCAATTCTTTTGAGAAGTGACGGGAGAAGGGTGAAAGAATGTCAAAGAACTTCCAAATAAAAGCTAAGCAGTTTGGCACTGACGTACGCCAACGTGCAGCGATCGTGCATTGCGGGTACCTTCCAAAGGAGCGATCTTTCCAACTGTTCCAAAGGGCTCATCTTTTTCTTCTCCTTAGGAAGGCAAATTCAAGAGTTGTTGCTTGGTAAACCTAAAGCGCTGATCAGGTAATTACTTAGTTGTCAGCTTCTTCGAGCAAATCTAGCGCTTTGTCTGCAGGACTTCTGGTGTCCTCCGCAACATAATCAACATCAATCAAGAGATCGAGGCCAAATCACATCTTTTGACAAGTGGGGAAAAAAGGAACTCCAAGAGAACATGTCCATGAACCCCTCTGGAGTGATGGTTGCATATCACTGCATTTCTTAGGGATATACATATATACACCAAGCTAGATTCAGCACCACAATGTCTGGCGCATTCTCGATTGTACAATCTTGCATATATAATATAGGCAAAGCAAAGAATGCGTGTGCATTTTCTTGAAGGCTTAGCTCATCGTACTGACGTGCTATCTTGCTATCTCCTCCTCTTCCTCCTCCTCGCCCGCTGCACACTCATCCTGCACAATTTCAAGCATCTTAAATAGATCAAGAGTGCTTGCTTGACCAACGCGGCTTAGCTTGCCTCCTCTTCCTCTTCACCCTTGTCCTCCTCCCTGTCTCCTCTCACATTAGCGGACCAAAAGTTATGCGACCTGCGGGAAAGAACAAGAATGACTTGCCCCGAATCCCCTGCTCGTGACAGCTCCTGCAGTGGTCGTCTCAGTCGCCTGTCTTGTTTGTCCAGAAAAATGTGCAAAAAGAGCAAGAGAGGCCCTGTGAGACTTTTGGACAAAGGGTTCTAGACTACCAGGTACCCTTTCAGCTGCCTCCTTGGGAACCTCTTCTATGATCACATCCTCCTCTTGGACTTCCTCCATCAATCCTTAGCAAGAGAACCCAACCTCATCCGCCGTTGAAGAATTGCTCAACAAGAGCGATGTTGTAGGAGCAAGGACGCTACTAAGGGCTCCTGGCCTTACTACTAGGAGCAAGAAGCATCTGAGCTTCAGTACTTCGCACAGCCAGAGTACAGATTGTTCCCAAGAACAGTTCGGCGGTCGGCAGCGCCTTCTCCGTTTCAAGTCAGTCCAGCTTCTTGGACGTGAAGAGTCCGATTTCTTGTAAGTTCTGGTGTGGTGAGATGACTGGGCACCATGAAACTTAATGATTCAATGCCAAGTCTGTTTCTGTCAGGTTGCTTCATTCATCGTGTAGCTGCCTTGGAGGTTTGCAGTGAATGAATTTCCTTGCTGTAGTCTGCATGAGTGACTAGAAGAGCCAGCTGCTTCAAAGCTGCGTCAGAACTGAGAATAGAAAGTTATCGACGTGATCTTGTACAAGTAAAGTTCCAGTATCATGGCCATCAGCACAACTCTAGGTTTTGAAGTGAAGGCTAAGAGTCAACAAAAGAGTTGCGGGTGCTAAGACTGAGAGCAAAGAGATTGGAGATTGGCACCTTTCAATGGCTCCATGTTCTCGAGAGACTGGCCAGCCACCATGGCCACGCGTCTTTCGATGCTGGCACGAAAGACAGAGTCGAATCAAGTAATGAGACAATGAGATGAGATGATGGTCAGTGAACAGCCTTGTAGAGTTTCAAAAGGCATCTCGCACAGTCGCGTTGTCCTCCCTTAATTACATAGCTAGATAAAAATACTTGAGGCCAAGGGGGGGCGAAAGCTAGCGCTCCAGAATGGGAAAGTGGAGGGCAGCGAGGTAGGAAAAAACACGGCGCTCTTTTTGGAGGCAGGGGTGAAGAGTCCTTTATATGTGGCTCTTTGCCCCGATCCTCCTGCGAGAGAAGAGAGAGAAGAGAGACGGAAAGACGAGAGACAGAGAGGAGAGAGAGAGAGAGAGGAGAGAGAGATGAGAGAGATGAGAAAGAGATGAGAGAGATGAGAGAGATGAGAGAGACAGTGAGACAGTGAGACAGTGAGAGAGTGAGAGTGAGAGTGAGCGAGTGCGGCCGCAAGATACGCAACGCTAACCGCATGCCAAAGAGCGACGACAGGACGGAGTCGAACTTGCGAAGAGGGAGGAGGGAGGGAGGGAAGATGGGAGGAAGACAAGGAGGAGGAGAGGGGGGGAGGTGGGGAGAGGGGAGGTGGGGAGAGGGGAGGTGGGGGGGCTTCGACCTGAAAAATCAGGGGTTAGGATTTGCACCCGGTCGAAAGAAACCTTGCTATCGCAAGAGTAACTCCAGCTAGCTTCGCTAGCTTTCGTGATATGTACGTGGAGCTCGGAAAAGCAAGAAAGTTGGCCTGGCAAAGATGTCGGGATCACCCTGGCCATGTTCGCAGTAGGTTTTCGGTCACTGAGAGTTCAGAGCGATTCTCAAAATAGCTGTCAAAAGATGTCAAAAGCGTGCTATATTGGACAGTTGGATCTCCAGAAGGCTGCAAAAGAGCTAGCAGGGCTTCCACCTTGGCAACGCAATCATCAAGAGATTGTTACAGCATGATTCTTCCAACTAAAACCTGAGTGTCATACTTGATGCCTTGAGATCGCCTGTGGTATGACTCGGACTTTAGGATCCTGCCACGCAAGCTTGGCAAATCTACACCAGGACCAAAAGAAGGTGAATCGACCAGAGTAGAGTGAAAAGTGTACTCTTATACAACTACTACTACAACAACCACAACCACAACCACAACGACAACGACAACGACAATGACAATGACAACAAGGTGAATCACCTGCAACTAAACACCAGTTGGTTATCATTTGATCCTCGCTGAGAGCAAAAGCTCGTAGTTGACCAGGCCGCACATTGGTTTGGTCCTCCTGCAAGGTCCACAGAGATTCAATGCCATAAGCTTTTGGGCGTCCGCGCCTTCAACAGCAGCGCTGGGTCTATTTGTCGCCAAGGTAGCTGCCCTGTATCAACGATTTTGGCGTCGTCCAAAACAAAAACGAGAGACAAGAGCAAGTAGACCTGAGAGACTTTGTTTTGAGCCTGCTAGGGTAAGAGAGGAGAGTAAGCTATTAGGGTGAGTTAGCTTCTAGGTAGGGACGCCGGATAGCTCACGCACTAATGATTTGGTTCTTAGATTTTTTGCGAAACTTTGATGATTCATTACTCAAATTCACACCTCCAATTCCACCATTGGCTGCCTGAGAGTGACAGAAGTTCTTGGTTTGCAAGAAACAGCAAAGTGTGAAGGCCTCCCACTCCCTGAGAGGCTTCTCATTGAAGAAGCAATTCACTCCATACTTTGTGGATCTCCTCACAAGCATGAAAGACACCTACCTTTCCGCATGTCAATGAGAATCAGCTTCCATCCTTGGGGGCATACCCAAATGGATTGTTCGATTGTCTTCCACTCCAGGAGAGATGATGTTGGACCACATCACTGCAGCACCCTGCGACAGGATTGCGTCAGTTGTCTAAGTAAAGCTCCCAGAGCCATTGCAGTCTCACAACCAAGAAAAATGGAAACTGTGTAAAAAAATCTTTGCGTAGCCCCACGGCTGCTCATTGCTTCCCACCACGCCTTGCCTTAGTCTGGCGAGTCGTTTCTCCCGAATTTCTCAAGAAAAAAGCAACTAAACTTCTCCTCTAGTAGCGTCCTTGTTACTAGTAGTAATGCCAGGAGCTACTAGTAGCTTCTTGCTCCTAGTAGCGATGCCCTTGTACTGGATTTGTCAATTGCACCGACCAAGGGCTCATTGAAGCCAGGGAACGAGGAATAAACTTCCTTGCGATGCTAAGAATTCAATAAATCACAGCAGTCTCAAAGCAGGCGTCTCCAAGTCTTAACACCTGAAAAAGCCAAGCTTCAGCCCCAGGTGTGGGAAGAAGGTCTCTCCCCCGTCAGTCTCTGGAATGTCGTTCAAGTAGACAAAGACTGGCAAGCAACTCAAGCTATCAAACTAGCTCCTGGAGTGTAGCTACCCAGAACGCAGCTGCCCTCGATCTTCTTTTTGCAGATGCGAATGTGAAACCTTGGGCGACTCAGATTCTGCCTTGGCAATGTTGCACTTGCACTCTGGCACGACCGCAAATCAAAAACCTTACTACTTGAACAATCTTGAACATATGTTCCTAATTCTTGTTCTGCTTCCAACGATGTGCATAGGCATCTGGAAGTCAAACTGCACTCAACTTGCTTGCAGATCCATCAAAATGCTTAAAGTTTTGCCTCTACACGCTTCAAACTCCGCAGAAATGGCCCCCGCAATCACAAAGAAAGAGTCCCCAAGGTTTTCTTTCGGATCCTTGCAACACTTCTCCCTTTCTGGGCCTCCGTTGGACAGCGCCTTTGGCTGACAATCAGAAGGCCTTGGTGCAGGCATTCCCAAGCCTTGCTTCGTCCACTGACTGGGTGGGAGAATGGTCAGAACACCACAGAACACTGGACCAAAGTTTCAGGGCCCAAAACACAAACGATTGTCTTTTAGAAAAAGGAAAAAGGTGCTGCCAGAGCACTGTGGCCACCATGGAAGTTGTGCTCGTCACTGCTCTCACCTCCGGCTGCGGCATCCCGAAAGCCAAGGAAACCAAGAAACTTGGCTGAGCACTGAGGACCACCCGCATCTCAGAAGGGTACAAAGCACATTCCCTCCAAGCAGTGCTTTCTTTTGCCAGCACGGGAAACTGTACAGCGTCCCTCCCGTTCTAGGCATGCAATGAGAATCTGTTCACACTAGAGTCATTCACTCTCAGTACAAACTACTTTCCTCAGGGGACGAGCTTGTGGTGCTCGACGCACCTTGTTGAAGACCAAGTTTACGCCCCGGAGTTCCTCTGGAATCACGAGGGATGCTTCGTCTGCAGCTGGATCCACCCCAATTTGAATGGCTGGCATGTTGTTTGAGTCCATGGTGACACCAAAGAAGTTCACCGACTTCGGGTTGTCCTGAAAGAACTGCTCCGACCATTTCTCGCGAAGGGCGTTCAGCTCGATGGCAATCTTTACTTTGTCGTCCATGCTTAGGTCGTTGGGTTTCCGTCCAGTCTCCTCCCTTGCCTTCGCCTTCTCCACATCCGCCATGAAGTCTAAGAGACTGCCGATTCTTTACAGTTATCCGGGGGTAGTCCGCACTTGAACCAAATG